TTACAAAAAAACACAATAATTAGTACATACTCACACACCCCAGCACAACCCTCTGGTGGCTTGAAGGAAAATGGCCCCCAAAGGGAGCTGCACTTTTAGGAGGTGTGGCTTTGTTGGAGGAAGTGTGTCACTGTAGGGGTGGGCTTTGAGGTCTCTTGCTCAAGCTTCTCTCAGTGTGACCCTTAGTCAACTTCCTGTTGCCTGTAAGATGTAGCACTCTCAACTCCAGCACCATGTCTGCCTGCATGCTGCCATGCTCCCTCTGAACCTCTGAAATTGTAAGTGAGCCACCTCAATTAAATGTTTTCTTGATAAGAATTGCTGTGGTCACGGTGTCTCTTCACAGCAATGCTAACTAACACAAAAATGCTAACTAAGACACACCCCGAGTGAGCAGATACAGAAGAAGCACAAGCTCATTAGTAAGCTGTTACCTGGGTCTCAGGGAAGGACACATGCTCTGCTCCAAACCCAAAGGGCAGGCAGAAACTGTTAAGACTACAGTATAGTGGGTAGTTCTGGGACAAGCAGTTGGTGGACATGTGGCACATGCCACACCCCTAAAGGAAACGAAACTGCGTGACCACATGTCTACGTGTGACAGACTCATTAGGGGCTACAGGGAAATAAAGAACAAGATTGGGCAAGAAAACTGCCTTCTATGGGTCGTCTGTGCACCTTGAACTGGGCCTATTTTGTTTTTAGCAGAACAAAGTACAATATCAGGAGCCCAGCACAGTGGCTACCTGGACAGGCCACATCCATAGCCCCTCCTTGCGTGAGGGGTGCCTAACCAAGAGGCCTCCTACCTGGAACCGAGCACACCAATATGCTGCGTACAGCCCTGTGTTCTCGGTATGTGGAACAGACAGGAGGATCAAAAGTTTAAGATCAAGCCTGGTGTGGAGGCACACGCCTTTAATCTCAGCGCTTGAGGGGTAGAGGTAGATGGATCTCTGTGAGTTCAAGGCCTGCATGTTTACGTGTCAAGTCTGAGGACAGCCGGGGATATGTAGTGAGACCCTGTCTCAAAAAAACAAAACAAAAAAACACAACCTAGTCCACGCTAACCTAACCTAGTTGGAGTCTAGTAAACGGGATCTTAGAAACAAGCTAGCTGTCCTGTGAGCTCTCTTCTGGCACTGTCACTCTCCCATCCTTGCTGTGTGACCATGTGGCAATTCTGGCTTCTCTGTAAATAAACCTAATCCTGGGCAGAAAGGTAGGCTGCTTTGCACAGGCCTGGGGCTTACCACAAGGGCTTGTCTTGAAGCCCCCACAACCAAGGAAGGGAGGAGACAGGGCAAGAGGCCACTCACTCATCTCAGGGTTCTAGAAACCTTGACCCCACAACCACTTCCAACCTCAGCCTCAAGTGTTGGCAAGGTGTTGAGGTCAGGGACCCTGACACACAAGTACGAGACCTAAGCAAGGGTCAAAGGGAATCCCCGACTTAAAGGAAACATTTTAGCTGGCCTCCGGTATGGAAACACCAACTAAAAATAAGTATGAAAAGCATCGTTCGTGGCTGGATATGTTGCTCAGTAGAAGTCTAGAATATATGAGATTCTGGATTTGATTCCCAGCACCATGATAAGATATAACAAAGCCTTCCAACATCAAATTATCCTGACAACAGGCTATTTTTTTAAAAAAAAGTGTAAGGCTGCTTCCAGAATGAGCAGACTCTGGAATGTGGCATCTGCCCTTCTTTCCAGGAGTTGACACCTAGGAGAAGGTTGCTCCAGGTGAGAAGTTGAGTGCCAGGTGAGACCATTAATTTGGCATGGGGCACAGATCAAAGACCTGGGGCTGGGAAGATGAGCAAGAACCCACTATTCTGAGAAGCTTGTCTGAGTTGAAGGCAGCTTGGTGGGGGACGGTTGTCATGCTAGTGGCAGAGAGGCCGATGTAGTGTCAAACCATAAAATCCCAACTTACTATCTCTTAGTCACTTAACAAGCATCTGTATTAATCATGTAGTGAAAGGCAGGAACAGAGCCCTAAGTGCTGTCTGTACCTGGGTGGCAGGACCTGGGTAAGAGTTTTCAGCCTGTCTGGATTTGGACAGCCCGGTCTTGGACCACTCATGTACTCCCCACAGGAATCCAAGAACTACACACCTAATGGTGTGTGTGTGTCCGGGGTGGGGGTGGGGTGATTAGAACTGACAGGCTTGGGAGAATGCTCACCGAGAAGGTGGGTATGAGAAGAGACTGCCCCCCAGTCCCTAGATGGTGCACAAAGAGGCCTGCTAGAGTCTGGGCGAGATGGGGAAGCAGACTGCTTAAGTAGCACGGGAAAACAGGTGCCTGGACATCAGCCCCTCTGAAAACTGGTCTCTGGACAAGATGTCCAGCAAACAGTATCATTCCTGGAACTGGCTCCAAAGTCCTCGGTGTGTTTCTGACAACACAACGGACGGCCATTGGAGGTGTGTTCCTTCTGCTTCACCTGACAGAATAGGCAGCTGGAGACTCTCTATGGAGTGTCAGCCAGAAAGGGAGCACAGCCCCTAACTGCCCGTTCTCCGTCTTGCCACCGGGCACCTCCCAGCCCCGCCTCTTAGCCTTCCTCCTCGAAACCCTTTGCAAAGACGCTTCACCGTCTAGGTCCTAACCACTCCATGGAGCTTTTCTGGGTGTACGTCTGTCCCAAACCGGGCGAAAGGCGCCACTGAGCACCTTCCCGTTTCACCCGAGCGCGCAGAGGGGTGCGGCCTGAGAGCTCCCCGAGTTCCGCACCTGGAGAAGGGCGTGGGGCCGGCCCCCTTGAGCTGCAGCTCCCAGCGCTCGCCGGCCGCAGTGCACACCTCGCCCAGGTACATGGCGGCGCCGTCGCCCAGCTGCCCAGCGAACTGGCCGAACTGGTGGCCACAGTAGCAGTGCGCGGCGGGCTCGGCGCCCGGCAGCAGCGCATTGCCGCTGAAGAAGAGCGCGGCTTCGGCCTCGACCTCGGCCTCCTCGCGGGCCTCCAGCCCCAGCAGCGCCAGCGCGGGCATCGACAGCGCCACGAGGCACGGCCGCCGCAGCGGGGCGGGCCGTGCACGGCTGAAGCAGGCTCCGGGCACCGGCCGCGGGGTGGACAGGACGTCCTCCGGCCCGGGCGGCGGCGTCTCGACGGGCAGCGCGCGCAGGGCGCGGTTGTCGAAGCGCAGCCCCGCGAGCCAGCGCGGCGTGGGCTCCATGGCAGCCGCCCAGGTGGAGCAGGGCGCGGGCGACGGAAGCGCGAGGCCGAAGGACTGCGGCCGGGTTCGGGCAGCCGCGAGCGAAGCCCCGAACGCGGCCCTGAGAGAGGCCATTCGCCGCGCCGCCGGAAGCTCGCTCGCCACGACCGGAAGTTTTTCACCGCCCAATTAGGGGTTGGTGGGGGCACGCCCAGAAGCTTGGCTCTGATTGGTTCTCTCTCTTGTTCGTCCACTTCCGGGCTTCGAGAAATGGCAGGTGGGAGTGGGCCTGAGATGCTCTCTAAGCTCTGGCACCAGTGCACCGGGTCAGCGGAGTTCTGAAGCGCCCACCCAGGTGACATGTGACTGAGTGAGGTCCCTAAAAGACCACCAGGGGCGCCCCCAACTAATGGGAAGCCAACAGCCAACGTTAGCCCGGGTTCCACTGGGTGCTTTGGGTTTGGCCGGTTCTGTCCATCACACACATAAAACCAGAAATTGAATCTTTGAGCTGTTTTATTCAGAGAGCCAACAATCTAAGACAGTAGTTTAACATCCTAAAGATGTGTCTTTCACCTCATCTTTAGCCAGCAGCCTATGTAGGTAAGTAAACAAAGGCAGTCAGTCATTCCAAAGTTCAGTCTTGCCCTCTGGTCAGTCTGTCAATCTTGGTTCAGATTTATGGAGTTGGTGCTTTTCTCTCCATCATCCCCCTCTCTGTAGCAGGGGGAGGGTTTGCAAACAAGGGCCCGAGTCTGTCGTTCTTCCTGAGTCAGCTGTTTGGATAACTTTTATGCTTAACTCAGAACACACTATCAATGTGTGTATGTAGATTCCTTTCTACAATAAAGTACAAATATGTTCTTAGAATGTAGAATATGCAGTGCCCTTCCACCAGGACAATTTTTCTCATGTTTTGACCAGAGAAGGGCCAGAAATCTTGTCAGTGTTCCTGGGATCTGTGGGACAGGTGGGAGCTGGCCACCTAAAACTTAATACAGAAACAATTTGCATCAGCAATTGTACCAGGGCAGGGCTGAAGCAGAGGTTGGACAATGGGTCAGGGTAGGGTTCTGAGCTTACCTGGAACCTGGGTTCCACATATAGAACTTCTCTCTGAAGTGATCACATTTCCTTTTCTCCCCATTTTGTGTCTGTCACTTGCAGTCTAGGTGGATATGAGCCTTGATGGCGGAGGTAGACAGCATCCAGTGCTCAGGAAGCCTATTAGTCTCCAATAGGAGACTTTGAGCATGGACAAATGCACACATCCCTTCCTGGCTGTGTCTCTCTTCATTTCAGCCTCTGCCTTCAGTTCTAGACCTTAAGAATTCACATCTGGAACTTTTCCTGGGGCCACAGTGGGCTTCTAAAGCTACAGTGAACCTAGCTCTGCCCCTGGAGCTGTGTGATCACACTAGTGAATTTCCCCTTCCTTCTGCACTGGAGGTGGGATGATGTGTATGCATACCTCTTTTTTCTGTGACCGCAGGCTATAGCACCTCAGCCCTGGCCAGAGCATCTGTGCTCCTGCTGCTGCCACCAACACGGACTTCACTGGCTTTGCTCTGGCCTGAAAATAATATACTCCCGCTCCCACATCTGTCAGGCACTGAAGTGTGAACCAGAGGATATACAGGTGCTGAGTGCATGCACTTGGCTGGCACACAGATAACCTTGCTAAATACTAGTGAGCACCAGGGGCCAGCCTGTATACTTTGCTGAGATGGATAGTATGTACCCTGGGATGCAGGAGTACCTCTAGCATCCTGCAGACAAAAGAGGAAGCCAGTCCCCATCACCTGAGTCCCATTTTCATACACTGCACAAAACGGGAGCTTCCAAAATTAAAATTTATTTCTCTTTCTAGGGAATGAATCCACGAGTGTGAGACAGAAGTACACAGCCCAACCAGCCCTGTATCCCCTGCCCAGCTCAGTGTTTCACCTGATTTGGCAATCAACACAAGGATATTCAGAGAGGTCTTGGTCTTGCCAGGCTGTGCAGTATGTCAGGAGCCACAGCCTGTACACATGAATGGCTGGTGTGCACAAGCCAACCATGGCCTTAGGTTTGTGGCCCATAGTGGGTCCACTACTGTCCAGTTTGGGCATCCCACCTAATGCACAGGAATCAGGTCAAGCCCCTCCCAGCACCAAGGGCAGCCAGGGAAGCAGGCTGATACTTGAGGCAGCCCAATGCCACACTGAGCTGTAGTAGAGTCGAGCAGGGGCTACCCTGGACCCCCAGCTGACTCTCTGACATACACTGCCCACTCGGGGCACACAAATACAAATAAAAAGACTTCTTTGTCCTCGCTGGATTTAAGGCTTGTATTTCCTGATATTTGCTTCAGTTTGTTTTTTCTTTGATGTCAAAATTACCTGAGTAAAACCTTTTTGACAATAAAAAACAAAAAACCAAACCACAGACTCTCTGCAGGTAGAGACAGCTGGCAATGCCACATGCATGTCTAGGCCAGCCAAAGGCCCTACACACCTACAGGAAAGAGCTGCATGGACACCCAGCTCCCCAAACTTGCCGGCCCCAAACCCACAGTGAGATGCACTCGGGGCCAGATGCTCCTGCCGGCCAGAGCACAAGGCACAGTGAGGTAGGTAGAGCAACAGCTTGCCAGGCCCACCCTGGGGTTAGGTGTGGGGCACCTCAGTGCCTTCCCTCAGCTTCTGGCCCTTTTGGAATTAGGCCGCTGGGTCCTGACACTGTGGACGGCCCTGACGCCCATGGGTGGCCCCTACAGTGTGTGTGGGGGGCTGCTGGGAAGCCTGAGCTCAGACAGTTAAATATTCTTTATTTGGGTGGGCTGGGCATGGGGAAGGTAGGATAAGCCTGGCCTAGGCCCCCATAGGGGGTGGCTTGGATGTATCTGCACCCAGGGACATCTCCAGACAGGTGGCGACAGCTCCTCGGGAGCACCAGATGTGATGCAGAGGAGAAGAGCCCCTGGGTGTGGTCTCTCGTTTGCATGGTCCTCCTATCGGCCTGGCCGGGCCTCGCTCACCCTCTGGAGGCAGAACTGCGCAGCAGGCAGTGATAGGACCAGGTTCATGGTTCGACGGCCCATCCAGTACAGACTGTAGCCCAGCAGGCCAAAGAAGGCAGCCTTCACGGCCACCCGGGACACTCTGCCCGAGATGGATGGAGGGGGAACTCTGTGGGAGGGAGAGGTATGGTAGGCCTGGCTGGAGCATGTACTCCCAAGGTCTTCCCATCTATGGGTCACCACCACGTGCAGTTGCAGGGACTTCCAGGTGGGGTGGGGAAGGCACTCACGTCATGATCTCCTGGATGTTGAGGTCGGTGCTCCAGTTCTTCTCAATGCCAGGCACATGACCCATGCCAACAACACCCACAACCACAGATGGGACGCACTTCCTGGGCTCAGCTGTCAGGGGAGGGTGAAAGTCAGTGGCAGGCACAGAACTAGTATTTTGGGGAGTTCCCACCCTGGTCTGTCCATCACCATCAGAGGCGCGGGGAAGCTCAAGGCGCCTTGCAGCCTGCCGCAGCATGTAAGTCAAATAGACATCACGCTCTGAAACAATGGTTCGGTGCAAGTCAGGAAACTCCCCAATCATCTCTGCCATCATCTGCTCCAATAGGTCCTTCTGCTTGCAACGCTCCACATCATCTTTGCTGAGGACAGAGGGCATGTTGCTAGCTCAGAGGGATAAACAGGGATTTGCTCGCATACTGTGGGGATGGAGACATCGGAAGTCTTGTGTTGCTGACTCAGGACAGGGACCATCGCAGGTGTGGAATGTGCCATGAACAGGCCAGGGAGGCTGTCCTACCTGATTGGGTCTGACAGGAAGCACAGGCCCCAGGCCAGCTTGACCTTCTGCCAGAAGGAGAGTGCAGCAATGGCCCTCTTAAAGGTGACGGGGATGGGCCGGTCACCCAGGTGGAATTTGCAGAATGGTACCTTGCTAGCCTGAGGTAGAGGCTGGATGTTAGGACTTGTGACACCAAGGATAGCTGCCATCAGCCCCCACTAAGGCATCCACAAATCCCCTGGGTCTAGCACCCACCTCCTTGAAGGCTTCCCTGAACTCGCCACCAGGGGCCATGCCCAGCTGCTCAGTGATGTGGGCAGACACCTTCAGCAGCAACATCTGCATGAGTCCAGACATGAGCCCATTCTGCAGGAAGAGGAACCATGTCAGCTATACTGCACAGAGTGAGTAAGGCAAAGCAGTATGAAGACCCCAGGGTGCCCTTGAGCTAGGCCCCAGCCTATGACTGGTCTCAGGCCCCTTCCAGTGGCAGGGGCAGGCCATCCTGGGACATGAGGAGGGTCCGACAACAGCAGGTCATCTTGGCTTCAAGAATCATTCAAATGTGTTGCCTCTGAAAAAAGTTCTCTTTATAGGACGGTCAATGATGTTGAGAAGGAGCTACTGACAGGGACCACCTGGCCAGGTGTCGGAGGCAGGCACAGGCTGATCCTGAGCAGACAGGCTGGAGCACCTAACAGGGAGTCTCAGTACTTGCCACATCCATCTGCGGAGGGCAACATGAATGCCTAGCGTCCACAGTGGCCACTGGCTGCCTCTGGTCTGGCCAGGCCCTAAGGTACGGGTCGGTCTGCTGAGATTCCACCCTGCATGGCTGGCACTTCTTAGGAAGGATCACTCATGAGCTGCTGCATGGACTGTCTACTCTACCTTCCCAGGAAGGTCTGGCCCTTGATTCAGGAAAGTGCACTTGGAGACCTGGTGATAATTTATCCAATAGGAGTATCCTTATTTACCTGACTTGGGGGACAGGCTGCAAAGTCTAGGCTGACCATGAGATTTATTTTATTGTCTGTTTTTTAAAATGTAGCCCTGGCTGGCTTGGAAACTTGCTTTGTAGACCAGGCTAGCCTTGAACACACAGAAATCCACCTGCCACTGCCTCCCAAATGCTGGGATTAAAGCTGTGTGTCACCATGCTCAGCTTGTGGGGCTCATGGGTCAGGTAGTACCAGCTTACTGCTGGAGGAACTAGAGCTGTGCTCACAAGGCCAACCCACAATAAACACTGGACACCAGGACAGTGGCCTCCTGGCGGGCAGCACTTGTGCATGTTATCACACACTGTTGCTGGGGAGACTCGTGCCATCTGAGGCTCCTTGAGGGACGAGGGGCAGCAGGTGCCAGCTTCTCCGCTTTGTTGACCCTTGCCCAGGCCCTGACTGATGGGCCCAGTCAGTTGTCTGGCTCTTCTTCCCGTGAAGTATGGACCCTCTGTTTTAAGGAGAGTGCATGGGGGTTGGGGACAGGGATGACACATGACTGGTATTAAAACCACACCTGATTGAATGGTGATTTCTTTTTACAGGGTATCCAGTAAAGGTCTATGGTGACACCCCTCATCTGGGAGATTCCTGGGTGAAAAGTGCTCAGCATGTCTGGGACAGTCACACGAGACTCTAACACTCGTTCCCTTCAAATAAGAGGAGGCATACTCTGCAGCTGGGGCAAGACATGCCTGTGCCCTCGGAAAAGCAGATCACAAGGATGTGCCCCAAGTGTTGCTTCTCCTAGACCTACAGGGCTGGGGCGATGTGGAAGACAAGGGCCACACAGCAATGTGGTGGGCCAGACAATGCTCAGACCCACCACTGCCGCTTAGCAAAACAGGCTTCAGCTCTGCCCTGTTCCTGCCTTGTGGAGGATCCTTATCCATCTCTTCTTCCAGCCTCTATCCTCTCGTGGGTGAGAGTGGGCTTGCGACCAGAAGGCCGGCCCAGGGAGGAGCCTGCCTGCCATCAGCTCAAAGGAGACTCTAGGCTCTACAGAAAAGGGCAGAAGCTTCGGGTCCCTATGTAGCCTTGGGCACCCAGAGCCCATCGGGCGGCTGCTATGCGCACCTGCCTGACAGCCTGGTGGAGCTTCTCCAGGCTGACCTCCTTGGCCTCTCGTAGCAGCGTTCTCTCGTCCATCTTCAGCATGGACACACGGTACTGACAGAGTTCCACAACTACCACATCGGGCTGCACCTCCCGGATAGTCTGTAAAGCAAGGGCCACACTCCAATAGAGCTCTATTGGCACTTCCACACTGGACAAGGAGCCCACACCAGGGGGCAGCCAGTGCTAACAGCCTGTGTGGCTTCGGTGACAAATTCTAGAGAAAAAGCAACCAAAGGAAGCCATGAGACAGCTTTCCTTGTCCAAATGAAGAAGCCCAAGGCTTTGAGTTGTGGAGCAGGAACCACTACTTATCACTCCAGGGGCTCCAGAGTTAGAAATACCTGCTGCACAGCTCTTGCCTGGTTGCCCTGGACTGTGTCCCTGGAGGACAGTCGGACACACGCATAGCGCTCACCTTCACTACATCCCGCTTGCTGTCGTCACTGAAGTGAGCAGTGCCCACCACATACACCTTGCTCCCATCCTCAGCCACCAGCTGGGTCACAGTGCGTGGAAGGTTGGGCCGCTCACGCCGTCTCTTCAGCTTCATCTCCAGGAGCAAGTTGAAGGCGTCCACATCAGCTGCAACACCAGCAGAAGCCATGGTGGGCTGGGGCCTGACGCCAGGGCACAACTGCCCACGCACTGGTCCCAAACCCTCTCCAGGCCCTCAGTGAGAACTGACTCCCACTGGACACATGATCTCTGGCAGGCAGAACACTTCACACAGATGGGGGACCCAGATGACCGGGCAAGCCACCTGACCACATCTGTGAGCAGAGCACTATCTGAGGGGCCCGGGCAGGAGCTCTCACCACCGTCAACTAGACCCAGACTGTCCTAGGAGAGCGCTGTGGATGGGGGGAGGGGTGACCAGGTGCCCTGGAAGTGTCTCAGTCATGCGCATGGCTGGACTTAGGGGAAGCAGAGGCTCTGGGCAAGCATAGGTTGGCAGCCAGTTTCAGGATATTACAAGGCACCTGAGTATGGTGCGGGGTTCCCGCTGCCTTTACTCCCTCCCGAACTGGGCAGGCCACTGATGTCCCCACCCCCTCCCTGGGGCCCAGCATTGTGTCTATACCAAGTCCTGAAGGGAAACATACAGATGTTTTGAGGGTCTCCAGAAAGCACCCTTGGCACTGCTTCCGAGGCCCCTGATGTCACCACGGGTTCCGTATCAGCCTGCAGAGGGAGTTCAGGTAAGTGTCCAAATACTTGGGCCCCACCCCACAGGTCAGGCACACTCCAGACCTGTTGTACCTCCTTAGCAAGCCCAAGAGGGGCCATTTGCCTCAGGCCTTCCCCATGGAAGTTCTTGCTGGACTCTAAAAACCCTAGTTATCAAGTTAGGTCTCTGTAGAGAAGCAGCTAAAGGGACCAGGGTGGCCACACCAGAAGGTATTTTGGGTTGGGAAGAGGGTTGTTTAGGAGGATGTTCCACCATCCCCCACCTTTCCCTTACCTCTTGAGCTGGCTTCTCCTCTCCCTCCATGACTGGACAGCAGCTTCCTGACTGATGTAGGATGCCTGAGGAGACAGATAATAGTTCTTACCCAGGGTCCCAGGGACAGGATCAGGGTTCACTGTGACAACAGAATTGGGTCCTTAGGATAGGACCTTGGCCTTCTGTGCCTATACCATTGGCGTCTTCCTGCTTAAGTGTATGCGGTTTGAGGTCTAGGGTCCTTTTGGGATGTGCCACACTGGTGAGAGGCCAGCAGCCTCCGTGAGTAATGTATGGATGGCTGTGCACAGGGGAAATCTCTGGCATGCAGGGGCTTCAACCACAACAGGCGCAAACATAGTGAAGTTAACCTGTGTCTCTCTGAGAAGCTGTGCTGACTCCTCTGGGGTTACTGTAGGACACAGTGCTGAGGCTGCTGTCCCCATGGTGGGAACCCCAGAGCCTTTGTGAGAAAGCCTCTTCAAGGAAACCCTCCATTCTTTTTATAACAACGGCCACAACTGTTTGGCTACCAGCCAGAAGGACAAAGACTAAGCAAGAAGACAGCATCCGAGGAGCCAAGACAGTTTTCCAGTTTAAAAGCCTAACATGAAAGACACTGTATTAGAAACTTGACAAGGGGCGGTACCCTGGTAACCAGTCCCTGACACTGTGGTTCCTTACTGCATTATTGGGAGCCCCAGGGTTGGGAGCCCACAGTGTCAGGTGGTACAGAGGGAAGAGTAATACACTGACCAAAGGGGACAGAGGCAGCTTCAAACCATGGCCCAGCAAGGCCAACAGACTCACGGATCTGCCAGTGGTCAGATACCTCCTACCTGGCAGTCATACATGTACACATTGTCTATGTACCTGTGTGTGGGTATGTGCACGTGTTTGGGTGCCTGTGGAGGCCAGAAGAGACAGATTACCCTGGAGCTGGAGTTACAAGTGGCTGTGATCCGGAGGCACCTGATGTAAGCTTTGGGAACTGGACTCAGGTGCTCTGCAAGGGCAGTTTGGCTCTCTTAACTGCTGAGCCATTTCTCTGCCCCACCCCACCCCAACTATATAGTTTTAGCGAACACATGTAAAGGTATTTCAATTCCATGCTGGTGGGTTTCATGAATTATAGAAGCTATTTCCTCAAACAAAACAAAATCATCACCCATAATGTATAGGTTACTTATAAACAATGTTATATTTGTTTTATATATGTTGCTTTAACAAAGAAGCGTGTAGACTGTGGCTTATAGTAAGTTTTGGTTTTACTTAATTACTGGGCAAGCCGCAATGTAACATTTCACAATTAGGATAGGAATTTATACTGTACCAAGCTGATAATAGAAAAATAAATAAAAAAGTGGGAAACAAAACAAAAAAAACAAAGAAGTATGTGTGTGTGTGTGTGTGTGTGTGTGTGTGTGTGTACCAAATACGTCAAGACAGGAACGCTTAGCAGACATAATGGTCCTGGCTGGAGAAACCCTTTTAAAAATGACAAGTTTACTGGAAAAATCTGATCTTTGGGTGTAGTAATGTTTTTAAGAGTTTTTTTTTTTTTTTAAAGATTTATTTATTTATTATGTATACAGTATTGTGCCTGCATGTGTCCCTGCAGGCCAGAAGAGGGCACCAGATCTCATTACAGATGGTTGTGAGCCACCATGTGGTTGCTAGGAATTGAACTCAGGACCTCCGGGAAGAGCAGTTAGTGCTTTTAATCACTGAGCCCAAGAGTTTTTATTATTACCAATTATGTATATTTGTGTGTCTGTGTGTGTTTTGTGCACACGAGTACAGTACCCACAGGGGAGAGATACCCAGAAGTCAGAGGTACAGGTGGTTGTAAGCCACCAGAGGTCAAACACCAGTTCTTCTAAGAGCAGTACTTATGGGGAGCAGGGGCGCACGCCTTTAATCCCAGCACTCAAGAGGCAGAGGCAGGCGGATCTCTAAGTTTGAGGCCAGCCTGGTCTACAAAACAAGTTTCAGGGCAGCTAGAGCAACACAGAGAAACCCTGTCTGAAAATTTAAAGAGACAGACAGAGGGGGAGGGGGAGGGGGGAGAGGGAGAGGGAGAGGGAGAGGGAGAGGGAGAGGGAGAGGGAGAGGGAGAGGGAGAGGGAGCGCAGTACATGTTCTTAAATCCTGGGTTTTGTAATATTAAGGAACTAGAATATTCTAGTTTTCCTTCAGCTACAGCAAGAAAGGATGATTCTGTTTTGATGTGTTTGAGTACCTCAGTAATACGTACTGAGGGAAACGTGCCCTGGAAAGAGCTGTGTCAGAATGGGGATATGGTAAGATGACAGTGGTACCCCGCAGACCCTGGGGACTTTCTGGGTTCATTTTGACCTACCGCTTTTGTCTGCACACTTCTTAGAACTGTCAGCTCCCCACCCCAGCCCTGTGTCTCCTCTGGTCCTATTGTATAAATGTGATTCAGGGGTCTCTCTGGGTATAATCAAACTTCTAATGCTGTGGTCAATAGTAAAATGGGGGCAGGCAATCCTAAGCACTACAAGCCTTCTGCAAGAGGAACTGGAGCAGGGCCAGGGTGGGTTACAAGGTAGAGGGCAGCAGACACCTGGAGATAGCCTCTGAAACCATGTGCTCCTGGCCTTATGGCACTTCTGACTGTTAGAGAGGCAAGCATAACTTAGCTTACTGCTCTGCCCTAGGGTCCCCCTTCTCCCAGGTCTGGAACCTATCCTAACATGCACCCTAGGCATTTTATATAAAGACCAGCACATCTGGGCAGTACCATTGCTGGCTCAGGGCTTGTGCATGGCCAGGACTACACTCAACCCCATGGCATCTGCTCACAGTTTCACCCTACGGGTCTCCTTTCATTAACAGAACAAAATGCTTCAAAGAAACAGGAACAGGGAAATCAATGTACTTGGACAGGGGAACCTGCCTTTCAGGACAGGGTAGGGACTGTCCCTCCCACTCCACGGAACCCCAGTCAAGGGCAGGGAGGGTAGCCCACACAGGGACCAGCAGTGAAAAAGCAGAGTATCGCCTTGTTCTGGATGAGCACACGAAGCAAACCAGTAGTCCTAACAGCAGCACCAGGCTGCCAAACATGAGATGAAAACTTAAAACATCCTGTGCAAGTGGGCGGGCCAGCCAGAGGCTGCAGCAAATGGGAAAGGACCACGTCGGCTCTGCCTGCCCTGCCCTTTAAGAGGTGGGGCGGCTGCAGGTCTGCAGTTAGCTCTACCCTTCAAAGCTTGCTTAGGGTGCCTCTGAGCCTTTGAGGAGTATGGAGGCCACCAAAGCTGGAAAGCTGGCTCCAGATAGCTGTGGAGAGTCCTTGGCTGGTCCACAGCAGGACTGGTTTCACCTCCAGTCACCTCCAGTCGTGTGGTAGGTGGAGAAGCCCACAGGCTGGTCAGGAGCCAAGCTCTGAGCCCTTTGATGGCCAGACACCCAAACACAGCACCAGGACCCCTTGTGGCTCCCAGCCCTGGGACACAGCCGCTCATGCAGAGCAGTGCCAGTAGGGAGGGGAGGTCAGGCAAGGCGGCCACTGACAGTCTTTCCACACCACCTCCCCCAAGACAGAAGCCTGTGATTACAGTCCCTGCCACTATCAAATCTATGCATTTTCTGATCCTTTGGCTTCCTGCCTCTCAGAGACAATTCCATTAGTTACTAGTGCCTCCTCACCCTGCTCATTGTTTCTGACTGAGCAACGGAGACAGACAGACCTCCACTTGCACACACACCTAAGCATCCAGCCACTTGACCTGCACTGCACTTGTTACGTGTCCTTTTCAGACACAGTCAAGCTGTAAGAAGTGACCTCCTACTGCTCAGCCTCCCCAGGGAACAAATCGCTTCATAAATCCCCAGTAGTTAGCAGACAAGTTACCAGACCTGCTCCTGGCCAAGACCACACTGTAGACTTTTACAGGGTAAAGTCAGAGAGCTGTGATTTCTGTCAAATCGGCCTCTCACCAGCTCTCCCTGCTGAGCAGGACTGTAGGAGAGACACCGCTCCAGATCTGCTACCAACCAGGCAAGATGCTTCTACATGCTAAACACCAGAACTTTCAGCATTTGCTAAATTTCTAGGGGAACTAGGCTTGGACCTTTGAAAATTCCCAGGAGTCTGTGGCTTTAAGAGAAAAAAACGCCAGCTCAAAGGGCAGGGAAGGTCTCTTCATGTCAGGGCTAAGTAACCATAGAGGTTCTGCATTGGATTCAAAGCCATTTCAGAAATGCTCCCCACCTGCCCAGCCCCACAACTGTCTCTCTTCTGGAGCCTATTAATACGAACCAAGAGTGTCCTACCCAAATTCATATACTGAAAATCTAAGCCTCAAAGTAATTACATCAATAGGCAAGGTGACTTAAGAGGTGACTGGATTCAGATGAGGCCATAAGGCAGATCCCATGATGGACCTGGGGTCCTCATAAGAGACACTAAGCAGCTGTGAGAACACAATGAGAAGGGACCTCTACAAGACAGGCAGCGCCTTCATTAGCAACCCCCAAAGACTAGCGTTCGACCTTGGACTCCCAGGCTCTGAAAGTATGAGAAACAGACGTTTGTTAAATTTCTTAACCCACAAAACCCCTGTTACCACCCCAAGCTGACACACCCATCACGCTCTGCAATCTCTGAAAAACTGCTTCTCAGATGGCAGCTTGGCTTCCTACCACTCGTCAAAAGCTGACCACGACCAGATGGAAAAATCTAGACAGGCCTTCATAGCGTACTCAGAAAACCAAGAGAGAAAGAAATAGCAGGATGCACAAAAGCCCTGGCCCCCTCTTGTCCGTTTCTGACGCCCGGGCACTGCCAGATCCAAGAAAACCTGCTCCAGCAAGACGTATTTTACCCAAGTGTGGCAGAGCCGAGGGCCGGAAGAGGAAACACACCCGAGGTGAAGAAGCCTCGCCAGCCCTCCCGGGACCTAGTTTCTGTCCACCTGGAGATGCCCTGTCGGGGCCTGCAGGCTCTTGGTGGCCGTCCACTCTGCCAGAGCCCTGCTGGCATCCTGCCCACAGTGTCACGGCCACCGCAAGACGAGCCTTCTTAGGGAGGCAAGAGAGGGAGGCCCCGGGACAGACAGCAGCGTCTCACAAGACCGGCGAACCTGCAGCCCCTCCGCTCGGGGAGCACGGCAGCTTGGTGACTGCTGCCCCACTTCTCAAGGAGCTCTTGACGTCCCAGAGCCAGCGGAGCGCTTCTGAGCGTCCGGGTTGTTTCTGGGACTCGCGAGCCCAAGAACCATCTCCACCGTCCTGGGTCAGCCCGACCCGGTGGGATGCGTGCCCCTGGTCTCCGCAGTCCCCCACCTGCAGCCCGCGCCCTCCCGCGCGCGCCGTCGAGGCGCGAGGAGTCCCCGCCCGCCCGGCCAGGCCACGGCGTACCGAGCGAGGCGGCGGCGCTCCTCAGCCGGCCTCCATGCGCGCGTCGCCGGGCTGACGGGGTGAGCCGGGGCGGGGCGGCCGGACGGGCCGGACAGGCCGAGGGTGCGGGCCGCACGGCATGCCGGGAAACGCCTCCCAGGGCCGCGCGCGCGCGCGACCCCGCCCCCGCCGGGGTCTAAGCGCAGGGCCCCGCCCACCGGCCCGACGCCCCCATGTCCTAGAGAGCAACCCGGAGCACGCTGCGGGGCGCTAACCCCACAGCCAAGTCTGTGCAATGGGGCTGTGCTCTTTAGGCGTTCGTCCACACGGTGGCCTAGCGTCCAGGGAGCAGTCAGCCGCACTGGAGAGGGACAGAAACTAGGGATCGTACGACCCGCCCTTAGGGCTTCCTTGGGGAAACACATGCCAGGTGGAGAGGCTCAAAGGCAGGACTAAGGAGCAAGAAGCTGGCCAAGTCAGTCCCCTAGGCCATCAGGACCTCACAGTTCCGCTGCATGTGACCGAGAGTCTGGAAATGGCGGGGGTCTCTGGGTGGGTGGCGCCCCAGTGATAGCCTCACCAGTGCCCAGGCCTCAGGGTATCCAGTCTCCAACTGCACCTTGGAACAGGACAGGGGGTGGGGCCAGTTGGCCCACTCAGGTCTCCAGGTGGCAGAGAGAGGACTGTTGGTCCTCCTGCCCAAGGTTAGTGAATGGGAGGAGCCAGGTGGGCCCAGAGTAGACATTTCTCTATTGAGTGCCCCAAGATGAGCTACTGTGGGGGGGTCAGACAGAGACGACCCAGGGCAGGCCCTGACACAGACCTTCCAAAGGGGGAGTAAGCTCTGCCTAGCTCCCAGCTGCCCCATCCAGCCCTTTCAGATTCCAAGAGGCGAGAGGTTGCAGCCCTGGCCTTGGCCTTTGACATCGGTCCTCTGAATGGCCCTTCTAGAACCTGGCTATTGTCGGGGAGTTAATCCTTTCTGCACCAGGCAGGGTTCCCTGGGGCAGGTGGTTTACACATGGAGAGGTCCACACGGAGACTACTGGCAGGTATTTGCTGCTCTTCTTGTTACCATCTCCTCCATACAGCTTCTCGATCC